TCAAATAGTTGACTCCGCTTTTCCTCAGTATTATAGTGTCAAAGTTGTATAACCTAAACTTAGCAGAAAACGTAATAATAATAATAATATGAACCCCGGCCGATTGTGCTTATGCCGGGGGTAAGTTGCCGTCTCCCCTCCTTAAGAGAGGAGATGAGAATTTTTTAAGTTTAAGAAATAAATAGTGAATTGTCCTGAGAAGATTCTCAGGACAATTCACACAGAGCCATCTAGACCCAAGTTAAGCCAGCTGTAGCTTGTGTTATGAGTATTAGATAACTGATACAAACACATAGATATTTTTTTGTTCGTAAATACATACATATTATACATAGAAAACACCCAGACCGATACAAACAATCATACTTATGAATACAAATGTGTGTGCCGTGCGAGGAATCGAATCTGCGACTAACGGACGTAAAGCGGTGTGCTAGACTGCCAGACCACCGAGGTTGTCAAAAAATAAAGAGCCTCGTCAACGTAAACAAAACATCAATTACAAAACAGCTGAATTATATTTAACAATTGCATCTTATACTCATCTACTAATCGTTTGAACTATAAAAAGTAATTTTTGCCGGTCCGGCAGTGATTACGGTTAAATGTACAGTTAACTATACTTTGAACTGGTACGTATAGAAATAGTAAAAGTGAGTCATTGTTATTTTGTTTTTGTTATTGTATTTCATGTACCTATCTAACCCACAGTCTTATAATATTAAACTAATATTTTATACGTGAAAGTATGTAATATTATGTTATCTGTGGTGAAAGTTTGATAGAGGAATGGATATTTGTTAGTCTTTCACAAAACTACTGAACGGATTTTGATAAACTTTACAGTAATATAGCTTATACGCCAGAATAACATATAAGCTACAAATTTCGAATGAAAACACATCATATTATTATTAAGTTTTTAAAAGATTTCAATTCAAAGGGGGATCAAAATTACGACGGCCTGACCTGAGCCGATCGTCGAATTTCAATAGTAGCCTAAGTTACTCTTTATAACATTAGCTACCTGCCAATAAAATCCCGTCAGAATCGGTCCAGCCATTTCAGAGATTAGCCGGAATAAACAGACAGACAAAAATTGTAAAAATGTTATTTTGGTGTATGTAACGTATTTATATTCATATGCATGTAGTAAAAAACGGTTATTTCAATATTACAGACAGACACTCCAATTTTTTTTATATGTATAGATGTATAGATGAGTGATTAAATAATTTATTGTAAGCTAAAGTTGGGTGTCACCCACACACACGTGACTGGTGACACACGTGACTGGTCCCATTAAATGCAGTTTCATCATTCTAATTAGTATAATTATGATGACTAGTTCATACTAATATACCTACCTAATATGCATATATATATATTTATTGACTAGCTGTTCCCGCGACTTCGTCCGCGTGGAATTTATTTTCATACTTTTTATTCTAAAATAAAAAAAACATCTATAATAAAAGTAGCCTAAGTTACTCCTTATTACATCAGCTACCTGGCAAAAAAGTCCCGTCAAAATCGGTCCGACAGACAGACAAACAAAAATGATAAAAAATGATATTTTGGTATATGTACCGTATATATATTCATGTGCATGAAGTAAAAACAGTTATTTCAATATTATAAACAGACACTCTAATTTTATTTATATGTAGATATAGATGATGGTTGTACTTGGATTACAAAATCATTATTTTAAACATATTGTACAAAATTATTACATCTCAATGTTATTTATTTGCATAGATTAAATAACATTGAAGTGTCTATTTGTAATTACAAATTAGCTTTACTTTAAATGCATATGAAAGATTACAGGGTACTTACATCAAAAAAATATTTAAAAATGTTTTTCTGTTCTTGCTAATCTCTTGTGTATGGTATAAAGTTTGTAAGTATGGTATGATAGAGGAATGGATATTTGTTAGTCTTTTACAAAACAACTGAACAGATTTTGACGAGACTTTCACTCACAGTTAACTAATGTTATAAGTAGTTACTTAGGCTACATTTCATTTTAGAAGTTATATATTTGATGATTACAAAAAGAGGGTGCAAACTGACGTAGTCGGTTAGATATAATTTTCAATTGAGTTTCTTGCCAGTTGTTCTCAATCAAGTTTTCCCTATCGTCCAGTTATACAGATACTAAATTGGACGATGGGGAAAACTTATAAATAAAAATTTGACGTTCATTAGCGGCTAAAATATCCTACATGAATAAATTATTTTTAAATTTCAATTTGAATTCCCTTATATTAATGTACAAATTTCTGGTCGACCCACACCCGGTTCCTCCGGGAAAGTACCATGATTAATTCATGGTGAACTCGCACCCAACCAACTAAACCGTACTGACTATACAGCTATTATTATCGTCTAGTATTTGTCACTCCATATTGATATTCATCTACATCGATATTTATTACTCGATGTTTATCTAATATCGATAATCCCTAATGTCACAAATTGTTCCAGAAAATTAAAAAAACTATATTGAAATTACTTTTACCCACAAAATTATTTTTTGTTCCGTGACAGATACATTAAAAAGATAATTTCAGTTATCTGTAGAATTAATAATTGAATGTCATTAACTCCTTACATATTCTGTGGTAATTTTCTTGAATGAATTTCATAAATAAATGAATGCATAAAAATGCATTTAAATATTAAAATATAATAGTTTCCGCAGTCGATTTCATTAGTGTGGCCTTAATAGATAGGGATGAAGCAATGGCTCCTTCAGGGTGGGAGAGGGAGGGGGGGGAATGGGGGTCAAGACACCCCCCTGAGCCCAGGACTAAGGCGGACCACTAATTGAACATAATGATTTTATATATATATTTTGTCACCATACAGATTTTATGTACCTACATACCTTCAATATTTAATTAATTATATTTAAATAGTGCTTCTCTGGATGTCTTCAAACGAAGATGGCGATATGTACCTACGTGTGTACAATAAAGAACAAATATTTTTAAGTACAGTTAATAAAATACATACTTTTTACTTGTATCTATTGTTGTCAAAAATAAATTGCAAGTTCTTGCCTTTACCACGACTATGTGACCCCCTCCTGGTGCCATAGCTGGATCCGCCCTTGCGATGAAGATAACCTTTACCCTCCATCCCAAACATACTACTATGTATTAACAAAATTTCATGGTGATCGATTAAGTCGTGAAAGTGTAACGATTAACAAATAAAAAAACATGCTTTTCTACTTTTAATCAGATTGACCGCCACGTGGATGAACAGAAAACACTATCATGATGGACTCACTGACCTAACCTCATGCTCATCTTATCATACTCCACTGGTGCTCCGCCAGGGTAAATCGTTAGCACAGGCGGGTGCACTATTCCATTATCATCAATTTAAAAAAACATATAACTATATTATGTACTAGCTGACTTCGTCCGCGTGGAATATAAATTTAGTTTTCTAATATAAAAGTAGCCTAAGTTACTCCTTATTACATCAGCTACCTGCCAAAAAAAGTCCCGTCAAAATAGGTCCAGCCATTTCAGAGATTAGCCGAAACAGACAGACAGATAGACAAATTTTTTTAAAAATGTTAATTTGGTGTATGTACCGATTTATATTAATATGCATGTAGTGAAAAATGGTTATTTCAATATTACAAACAGACACTATAATTTTATTTATATGTATAGATTTAATAGTGAGCGAGTTGGTAGGCGGATTAATGACGTCATATAGTTAGCCTTTACTATAAAAAAAATTACGATACTCTAAATAGCATAGCAAATATTGTTATATAAATATTAGCACAATCTTAGACTGTTCGTTTAATTTCAATAGCGTTGCAAATAGTTACGTAAACATTTTATCGTTATAGATTTACAAATAGTAGGGTAACAATTTGCTTCTTTTTTAAAGCTTAAGAAATGCTTATTTACCAGAGTATTCTAATACTGTTGGCCGCAGCTGACCTTTAAAACACCACCGAACGGTAGGGGCGAGTGCAGGTGGCACTTAAAACTCGCGGAAGGACTTATGGAGCAGCTGAAGGCCAACATGCAACAACAAAAGGCCTAGATTCGACTTTAATCTGAGTGCACCGATAGGAGTTCGAACCTCGACTCGCTGTCGTAATTTCTCGTTTGAATTGGACGGGATTGTATCGGAGGGGGTATAAAATGCTGCATCCGCCTGCCGTATGTGATAGCGGGGCACCAGTATCCGATGATAGGATGAGAATGAAGTCAGATCAATTAGCCCATCATGACAAAATCACTAGGAACTAATAACAATTATTTCCATGTGAAACCTCGTGGAGTTCGACCTAACATCCATACATATAAATAAAATTGGAGTGTTTGTAATATTGAAATAACCGTTTTTTACTACATGCATATGAATATAAACACTGTACATACTTACCAAAATATTTTTTTTACAATTTTTGTCTGTCTGTTTGTTCTGGCTAATCTCTGCAATGGCTGGACCGATTTTAACGGGACTTCTTTTGTCAGGTAGCTGATGTAATAGGGAGTAACTTATGTCACTTTTATTTTAGAAACATTATTTTATTTTAGAAAAATAAAGTATAATTCCATGCGGACGGAGTCGCGGATACAGCTAGTAATACGTAACTAGCAATGGGATCATTACTCCTCCCTAACAAAAAAAAAACACTTCTCCCGTGAAACCATAGTACAACCAGCGACCAAAAACCAAGTCCGATCCTGTCTCTTGTTATTTAATTTTACCCTAAAATCCGGGATGTACCACCAAAATTAGGACAACTGGCAACCCTAATAAAAGTTCATTTTTTAATTGGTTTTATCTAACTGCCAAGTTCAATATTAATAGATTTCTCGCTTCTATAGCGTAATGTTAATTAACTTGGTACATTTCCATTGATAGGTATACACAAAGCAAAACCTATTCTGTATTCATATTTTTTTCATTATAATAATTATTTACTATATCAATATAAATATGTTACTTACTTATTTGCTTCGTTATTACATCCAATTAGTAATATATACACTATAATACACTCATAATTGTCAAAAATCCACTCATAAACTCTTCTACAATAACGGATTATTTAAAAACAAAACACAACTACATTTTTTTAATAACAAACCACATTAAAAACAAAAGAATATCAACACTTTATGAATAAAGAAACACATAACACATCCTTGTGGCTAATATTGAAGGAACTTCCGTATTGTAACTAAATAGATTAAATTTAAATAAATTTGCACTGACAAATCTACATAATATATTTATTTAAATAACTTTAATGCACGTAAGTACATATTGCGGACTTAACACCTGATGGCTATTTCTACCAGTCAATCATGAGTTGTGAAGAGATAAGTTGTTGGCGGTGCAATATATTTTATCGTGGTTATGACCGGCGGACTGACAGACTACTGTATAGCAATACGAACGTATAATGAATAGTTCTAAACTCGAGACACGTTAAAAGTTAAACCGAGTACTCGCTGCGTCACCGTTCGAACACGTCACGCCTTCGATATCAAAATATAAACAATAATACATACATATTTATTTGCAATTCCAATTCAAACGGCCTCGGTGGTTTAGCGGTGCAGCTTTACTTCCGCGGGTTCGATTCCTCGCACGGTACATACATTTGTTTGTATCGGTCTGATTGTTTTCTATGTATATTATGTATTTACATAAAAAAAATATATCTGTAGGTATGTATTATATCAGCTGTCAAGTACCCATAACACACGCCTTAGTCTAAATTGGGTCTAGATGGCGCTGAGTGATATGTCCTGAGATTATTATTATTATTATGTACTAACTATATAGGCGAAATCGTCCGCGTGGAATTTAACTTTATTTTTCTGAAATAAAGGTAGCCGAAGTTACTCCTTATTACCTCAGCTACCTTCCAATAAAAGTCCCGTCAAAATCGGTCCAGCCATTTCAGAGATTAGCCGGAACAGACATACAGATAAACATTATAAAAAAAATATCTATGTATTTATATCAGTTGTCCAATACACGTAACACAGACTCTGCTTACCTTGGGATTCAGGGATATCATTATTAATAAATAAAATAATTACCTACCGCCCATTAGGAAAACAGAATATCAAATTAGAAGAATACGAAAGAAACTATATGTTCCTCTTTAAACAAATGTACAGTTTTAAGACGATTAATTAGTAAATATTGATGTTAGTATCCTTAATTTTTTTTCTTAAAACGACGCATCGCAAATATTGACTTTAGTAATATATTTTTTTCTCAGCTATTTTGTAGAATACAAATTGACAAATAACACGAATTAATAATAGTTTTAAAATACATTTTGACAATACTATCTGTCCCGTTAAAATACATGAAATAGTTTTTACCTAAAATTACTAGTGTACCAGAATATATGAAGAGATAACGATATATTTACTAGGAGAGTCTACGTGATATACTTAGAGTTGCTAATCCTCTGTAATATAATGAAGCATTATTTTTGTAATCATTAATTTATTCTTTTATTTTTTTGTATTTAAATTAAAATATAATTAGAATAAGAAAAAGTTCATTTATCAACTCCTAGTAACATAAGTAATCAGATGACATAGTAAAAAAGTAATCAATATTCAATATGTTATACTAAATAAGTTTATTAAATGAAAACTTAATTAAAATATACTTACTTATTTATAACAATACTACATCCAGTAGTTTTCTTAATTACAATGATCATCTCAATCCAATATAAATAGGAAACAACGGCACAACAATGTATTCAAATTAAAAAAGAAACATTAAAAATTTCATGCTCCCACACTAATTTGAACCGTATAATAGATATAATCATAAACAAACATCGTTCTTATCGTGTACATACAAACAGACTGTCCTCTACCGGCCCGTGCATCTAATGAAAACTTCTAAACATAACACCGTAATAAAAAGGTATAGTCTCGTTTCGTCACTGTATCAATGCGTCAGTTTGATATATTTATTCTATAAATTAAAAAAAAATATTTGTATTGGATTAATAAAAAAAAAGTAGTTACCCGTTTTTTAAGTATCACGTATAAAATGCTAGATCATTAGTAAAATATAAAAAGCTAAATATTATTTTTTAAAAAATCCTCCCGTTGCACACAATGCTAGTTCAACATAATAATGTAAACAAGTGAATATCTATTTCATTATACGTCATTTAAATTATCTTTCAACTTAATCACTTGTTTATTCTACACATAGTATTATCTCAGTTTGTTACAATACACAAAAAGAAAAGAAATACTAACAAATGCCCCGTCTTTGAAGAAATAACTTGTACACAAATTGTTATTATTATATTTTATAACTTGTACTTGTATCACAAATGTACGCGTTGCGAGGATGGCAGAATGTGACTGCCCTTTGATTACGACTTTGTTATGTTGATAAGTTTTATCAGCGGCTTCAATAAGACTGGATAATTATACATATTCTGATTTCATATTTATACGAGTATAAAATCTGTGTGGGAGATATAAAAAGATAATTTTCTTTTAATCAAAATATTCCTGTAGTTCTATTACAGACTCTTATGATATGACAAAACTACCGTTAGTTTGGAATGCTTTGACTAGAAACTCAGCTCTTATTATTTTGAAATGAGATTGTGTATAGGTACTTATTTACAAAAATACATATTAATTTTTAAATTAAATTAGGGACAATAGTGGCCACCAGCACATGTCAGAAGGAAATAATCTAATCAGTGGCCGTAACCGGAACAAACACGGATTAAAAATTAATGTAGTTATCCGTTTATATCATTGACTGTAAATGTATGTTACGTGCATATATTTAATGTTTTACACAAAGAAGCTAATATACATAGATGCAGTATCTTCTGTGAAAGGTTATCTGACTCCTGCAATAACAAATAATACATTATATGAGTTACGGATCCTGATATAAGCCAGTTGTTGTGTTTTGGAATATTGTGACCCCTCATATATAACTATCGTGTTTGATATTTATGAAAATATGTACAGTTAAGTTATTTAAATAGAAGGTAAAAAAATCGGAATACATTTTTAAAATTGCTTTGTATCTTACAAAGGGGCTTTCACTAATTAGAGACACTTTAATTGGATTGTAACTTATTTTTGTAAAAGTCTTCCAATATAGTTTGGCATAAGATGTAAGCGTAATTTTTTTTATGGCCACAGATAAATTTATTACCTAATGTAGACTGACTAAATTTTCATACTCCAAAATAAGATGAAAATACGCTAGAATTTCAAATTTGAGTTAGGAATACGAATAATTACAAGTATTCAGAAGTAAGAACGGTTTTGGCGGTAAATAGAAATTCTTAATTTATTTATGAAAACAGAACGTTTATATTTATAGTAAGGAACAAAAATGATTATATCCATATAATATGAATTATTCATTACCACTAATATTTTATATTTATTTATATAGTTCGACCCATTAGATATGTTCGTAACAGAAGCACACCTCATCAAAACCGATCGCCCACAATTGTGCAACATGGTAACGGCGTCTGTCTCGAGGCCCACGCCTCCAACCTTGACTCGGACCTACGATTAGTAACTAGCTCACCGTTTCTGTTCGCCTGGTAGCCAACATTGAACTCTGTGGTTTGACTCATACATTTTATCTTAATTTACCAGCGTAGACTGATTGACTGACTGTCAGTCATTTCACGTAATTTTTACAATAAAAGTGGAACAATTTTGTTGTCAATACATAATAGCATAATTTGTTACTAATACATAAATTTTCTATCAAGAGTATGATAGTTTATATTATTTTAGGTGTTTTCTATATACAAGAAATAAATAATAACATCTTATATATAAAAGTGAGGTGCACCTATCGTGTCTCATAAAAAAAAAAAACAGATGCGGGTTTTTTTACATACTGATACATATAATTTAAACACAAAAAAAATACTATATACATACATAAAATTCTCGTGTCACAATTTTAGTTACCATACACCTCCGAAACATTCAGTAGGTCTGAGAATCGGCTACTATCTATTTTTCATACCGAAGTGATAAGGGTTGTCCACTCCTAACATTACTTTTTATTTTTTGAACATAATTTTTTTATTTTTTTAAAATATAACTAAATATTCATCTTCTACCGTCAACCCCTATCTTTTAATATTGATTTTAATGTATATGGCAAAGCAACGTTTACGGGGTCAGCTAGTTATAATAATAATACAATTACGAATTCATTCGAAACGTTTTGATGTTTTAATAGTTTTACCATCGGTCTCTCTTCCGACCTCGTTGAGATCCACACAATATACTACATATCTTAGTCTTGAAGTTACATAATTAATATAATATATTACACTACGTATACATATATTACGTTTAGCATAGCTAAATTCTTTACACTGTTCATTCGTTTGGTATTTAGCCATGGTATTACGAGGTCGAATTAATTGGCATAATTTGTGATCATTTATCGACCTCTGTTCAGTTTTAATTTCTCGATTCTGACCTCAGATTGGACTAATATTATTCATGCATAATATTGGTAATTACTAATAAAATAAATAAAAAAAAAATATATAGATAATAAATTATGCTTCGGCTGATGTTAAATGCCAGAAGAGGTTGACAGTAATGGGAACTAGCAGTCTCTTTGCATACAATGTACTCTTATATGTTAGGTCGACCTCCACGCGGTCCACTTGGGAACCATCTTTGTTAATTCCTTATAAATTCGCCACGATGACCTATCTGACCTGACTTCATCCTCATTCTAACATACTCCACTGGTACCAAATTTACCAATATTTTTTTATTAAATTAATGTCAAATTGAAAAATCCTCAGATTAAACTGTAAATACAATTTGGACGGTATTCTTACGGCCCGCCTGAAGTACTACCACAGCCTATTCAAATCATCAATATTGCTAACATTATTTCATTGAAGGATATTTCGAAGCTTTTGTAAAATTTATGGATATTTATTGACTTTCTTATATATGTATATATATTATTATATATATGTATATGAAACAAATTAGTAATTTAATTCGTCATCATGACATTATAACAAATTGTAACGAATAACAAAGCATCATTAATGAATTAAAACAATAGTCTAGAACATCATCACGTTTATTTCTTATCATCTCAATCAATCATCTCGACAAATCATGGTCAGCAGAAGGTTAAAGTTTCACATCTAAGACTTTCTAAAATGTTATGCTTCCTTAGTACTTTCACTGTTATGTTTTACCTTCTTACCAACATAGCAGGCAGAATGGTGTTTTTTTTTTTCAAAGTCTACCTAGGTAGACTAGCAAAGTACCATGTTAGATTGACCTCCACGCGATTCCCCCTGGAAACCATCTTGATAAATTCCTGGTAA